TATGTAGTACTTGCACGATTACCGTATCTCTTTAGGCTTGTATGATATTAATCCTTTGTGTTTCTATAACAGTGGTTCTCAAAGGGGTGAAATCACCTATTTTGGGTAATTTGGAGGGGTAAAGGGGTAATGGAGCGGGTCGAGAAATTAATATTTCGTGCTGATGTTATTTTATGATAGAACGCCATTGTGATGGGGTTTTTTAACTCGGATAAGTAAATGCGGTTGGTTGATGGCAATATTCTCCTAATTTCTCAGTATGACCAGCTCGTGAGGTACTAACAGGGTTTTCGCTCGTTTTATTAGGGTTTTCATTCTTTTCCTTGCTGTTCCAATCGCTCTCATAGCTTTTATCACCAAAATTGTTGTCTTCTGCTGATTTCTCATTCATTTCGCACAACAGTTAAAGTCAAATTCTCATTCTATCAAATACACTCTATAATTGATCGTTTGACTATCGAACGTTATTGAGCAATTCAATTCGATTGCTGTATTGTTGATTTCGGCTGTAAACACTCGTCAACGCATCCAGTAAATAGTATGTGCTATAGAATAAGAAACTCATTCTAGCCGTGAAGTGAAATGAGACGAAGTGAATGAGAAATACTCATCAATAGAACGACATTCGCATGAAATAGCTATGAGAGTGAGTAGAACACTTCTGAAAAGAACGAGAATCCATCTAAATCATACGTAGAAATAGTAAGTCTTGTATCAGGGGTGGGGGTAACGACGCTCTGCCAGATTATCTAAAGGGTAATGGAGTGCCCGAACGCGAGAACCACTGTTCTATAATATCATCCAATGCTGTTGCAAATAAACGCTGAAAATTTGCATACAGTTGGCCTCGACCTGAAACGGTGTTACTGTTGAATTCTGGTTATGCGCAACTGTTCATCAATTATCATGGATCAATCGGATATGGCGACGATTTCGTAAGATCGTTACTCGGCAATTGTGGTGATTTGGACGTCAAAGATGTTCAGGTGAAGGCTTTGGAAACTCTTTTTTCTTAGAATTTCTAGAATGAGATGAAGGGAATGTACTCGAGAACATATTTATTCTGTTTTGTTGAAAATATGAAATTTTGATTTGAACTGATCAACTTAGGAAGGAACATTGATGAAGATTACCGTATAATTTCGAGATTTTTGCGGAATTTGAGACGATTTTTTTTTGCTTTAAGCATGCCGTTGAAACTGTTCTGGATAATGAACCAAGACTGGATCGCAATCGAGTTGCTCTGTTCGGAGGGTCACATGGAGGCTTTCTTGTAAGCCATTTGATCGGGCAATATCCGGTATGTCTTGACTCGTCTAAAAATGATGCTTCTGTCTGGTCATATTATTCAGTACATTCCAACTGAGTTCTTTAAATCTATTCATAATCATATTTTTTCCATTCATCTGAAAATTAATCCAACTCTCTTCATTTGATGAAATGCGTTTCGTATTTTGCACCCAATATTTCTGGTTGTATGTTTCTGAAGTTATTATTGCTCTCGTATGAATCTGAATGATCGACTGCAATGTTTCAGGGATTTTACAAGGCATGTGTCGCCAGGAATCCGGTTCTGAACATAGCAAGTTAGATTTTAACTGTGTTCAAAACGAGAGCAAACAAACAAATATTTTCACAACAGCTGATAGGTTACAGTACTTCCTAAAGCATACGGAATAACAGTGATCCAATACGTTTGTTTCTCGATGTTCGCTTCTGAAATACGTTTCAAAAAGAGGACTGACTATTGGGAGAGGAAACAATATTGGAGTTTCAACTGCTCTGATGTTGCTTTTTGAGTAGTCTCTGAGACTTTCACAACAATTGAGCTGATACTTTGGCATATACGAAGGCNATGTTCGAACTCTCCGACATCCCTGATTGGTGAGTTGCTCTTGCGGTCATTCTGTTGATGATTCAATCATTCTTTTGAGGATTCAATCATTCTTTTGAGGATTCAACCATTTTGTTGACGACCCGTTATTCAATCTGTTCCAACCGAGTTCTTCGAATCTATTTATGATCATTTGTTTCTATTCTTCTTAAAATTACTCCAAATCTCTTCATTTGATGAAAATGCATTTCGTATTTTACACATCATGTTTCTGGTTGTATGTTTCTGAGGTCATTATTGCTCTCATAATGGATCTGAATTATCGGCTGCAAAGTTTCAACCGTTCTGTTGGTGAATTGATTTGTTTTCGAGCGATTACGCTTACAATTAATTGACGGTGATTATGCAAAATAAGATGGCGGTATAGCTGTCGCATAGTAATTTCGAAATATTTTGCCTGTTTCAGGTCAACTGTATGTTCAGCGGGTTTAGACTACGACTGGACAAAAGGCTTATCAGAAGAGCTACGACAAAAAATGTACAACCAATCACCAATAGCTCATGTTGAGAAGGTTCTTGTTCGTTTGTTTGGAGTTTTCGATTATGAAATATTGTTTTCATCTCACGTACAGTTGAGTTTAGTTGGAAATTTGAGTTTATGCTTGCCGTTAGACTCTAGCAACGTTCGGATTTGATCTCTTATCAATTGTTGCTTCAGGTCCAAACACCCTACTTGCTGCTGAATGGTGAACAAGACCGTCGTGTGCCCGCTCATTATCGTCCTTACTTTCGCAACTTGGCCGCACGTCATATTCCGTACAAGTAAGTTTCTGTGATGCTAACCGGCCTGACTTGCAGTTTCCTCTACGTCGTTGTTTATTCGTAGTCAGCTTATTCTCAAAATTTAATTTTCACTCTTTTAATGTGCTCTTTTTGAACAAACCCTCCCATACACCAACTGAATCGCTTGAATATCGCATGTTTTCATCCCTCAAACGTTTTGAAAGAAGTCAACTGTCGAATTCGTTTCATTGCGACGTGCAAGTCAACAGAAGTGTTCGATACTATGATATTTTTCTTTTATGAAATCATTAAAATTTCAGAATATTGTCATATCCAAATGCGTGCCACCCTTTGGACAATGTCGAAACAGAAATTGATTTTGCGATCAACATGGTGCGTTGGTTCGACAAATACGTGCACTGATTGATCTGATGGATTGATTTCTTTCTCACGTTAAATGCAAATAATCCCTCCTGACCAACCGCATTGTGCGTAACTCAGGCTTTGCTTGCATTCTTGATCATATGGCAAAGCGCTGCTCTTCCCCACTCCTTCTCTCCGTTCAGTAATCTAAGTGACCGCAATTCCGCCTCCTCCTCAGATAATTTTTTGTAATATTTCTTAAAATTAGTGGCGATTCACAAGAAAGTCAGAAATTTAATCTGATGACCGAAAAGTTTGCTTTAAAGAATTCGTCGATTATATCAAAGGAATCATTTCCTCGTGATGAAAATAATCATCTTGAAAGTATTATTAAGCAAGTGCGGAAGATTTGTGGACATGAAAGCAATCACATGCGATTTGTCAATGTCCTCATTCCACCTTTATCCGGAGCATTGCTCTAAACCAACCATTTTTTATGTCTCATATTTTAGCTTATGTGGAATAATTTGAATAAACAGTTTTTATTGTATTCGTTCTCGGCATTGGCACTGTGCATTTGTTCATTATTCGCTCACTTTTTTGTATTTCTTTTTCCAGTATATTTTCTGATGTATTTTGGTATGAAAGTATCATGAAGTGAATAAAATTTTATAGAAATATCAGAATTTTTATTCACAAAACATGAGAATATTGGGTGAATTAATTATTGACAAAAAGCATTTGTTCGCAGCATCGCTCCGGTATCGATAGCTGTTTTAGACGATAATTTCAGACAACTGATCAGATGTTTGGGTGCGAAACAGTTGTGTAATAACAATGTGCATTATGACAACAAAGATTAATTATGGGTATTTTTGAGTGTGAATTGAATTCAAAGATTATTGAGTAATAAAAGTGCTTGCTCTTCTTCCTCTTCGTCCAGCGTTGGTTCATCGTTCGTCTCGTATAGCTTGCATTTACTTTCGGTGATCGTCACGTGCTTATGCTTGGTGGATGGTTGAGCGTGTTCCTCGAGTTGATCGGTTGCCATCTCGTGCTCAGATTGCATTGATTCTATCTCTCTTTCAATTTCTGCTTTTCGTTTCTTCAACAACAAAAATTGTTATGATGTTAGGCATTTGACAGTACAATGAAAGTCTCTTAGTAAAGAATCTCAACAGTACACTAGAGAATGGTTTCTAGGAATGCATAATTTGTAGAGAATATAGGAGCGATTTTGAGAAGTTAGTGGAAGATTTCGTGGAACATCAAAACATCTTATATTGCTCTGTTAGGTAGCAGTTAGTCAAGTCTTTTCGGTTTTGACGTAAAATTCATCAGTGAATTGATTGACTGAACTAACTTCACGAATATCATCGAGATTTCCGAGTTTAGTCACTTTATCGAACGATATGCATTCATCTCTGTAAAATGACGATTAGAACTTCAAATGTACTTCTGCTTGATGAGTATTTAGACAGTTTAATTTATCACATGAACGTTGATAACAACTTTATCAGCTTCTATCAAAATAAAGCTGAACACTTCCAATGGGTATGATTTGGTTTGATCCTACTGATCGAAAGAATTCTTTTGGTTAATTGAAGGCTTGGTTAATCTCAGTGATAAAGCGAAAATGCCTACTTCTTGTCAGTTCGTTCATCTTGAGTTGCCTCCTCTTTTTTCTGCAATTCAACTTATATTGCTATCATAATCAAGCTTCTTTTATTTGCACACGACAGACATTAAGCCAATGGTTCTCATAGGGGGTGGAATTACCCACTTCGGGTAATTTGGAGGTGTCAAGGGGTAATTAAGGGGGAAATTAGTACTTCGTACAGTGTCATGTTATGACAGGACGTCATCATTGTGATGGTGTTCTTTAACTCAGGTATATAAATGCGGTTAGTTGATAGCAACACACTTTATTCTATTATTTTCTGAGTATCATTAGCCCGTCCAGGCCTGACACGGTTTTCATTTGTTTTAACAGGGTTTTCATTCTTATTCTTGCTATTACAATCGCTCTCATGGCTTTTATCACCAAAAGTGTTCTATTTTGCTAATTTCTCATTCATTTCAATCAACAATTAAAGTGAAATTCTCATTCTATCAAATACACTCTGTAATTGATCGTTTGACTGTTGAGCAATTCAATTCGATTGTTGTGTTGTTGATTTCGGCTGTCAACACTCGTCAACGCATCAAGTAAATAGTATTTGCTACAGAATGAGAAATTGATTCGAACTGTGAAGTAAAATGAGACGAAGTGAATGAGAAAAACTCATCAAGTGAACGATATTCGCATGTGATAGCTATGAGAGCGAATAAAACACGTCTGAAAAGAACGAGAATCCATCTGAATCAGTATGAACTGAACTCAGAACGTGTCAAAATTAGTTTCTCGTGAAATAAGAGTAAAAAAAGGAAATGAGATCAAAACTTACTCGACGGAAAACTCCAAGTGCTTCAGCAACTCTTTCGATAACTGTCTGCAATTAGCAAATTATATTCTCTTCGATGATGCCCATAAAAGTGACTCACTCGAGAATGCTTTGGGATCGAAAAACGAAGATCCATATCAAAATTTTGAAGCGCACATCAAATTTACAAAACGAGAATTGTTTTTGTTTTACTAACAGCGCAAAAAACTCCAATTTGACTGATGAAAAATCAGCGATCGCACAAACTTCTGAAGACAATCTTGCATCGTTATCCAATGGAGGAGGATTTTAAGCACTGATTATTTCCCAATACGTTAGCTCACGACCTAACTGATAGCTGTGGGATATCGCAAGTCTCCTGATCGAGCATAAGTGTGCGAGCATCTCGAATATACGAACTCTTAAAGTAAGGAAGCCCGTAATGCTACTATATGGCAGATCAAATTTTCACACTTAGAGATGGACTGGATCAACTGTTCAACATATGCAAATGCATAGATCCATGAATGTCAAACGGAGAAGATTCTTTCAGCAAAATACATAGTTTTCCACGAGTTCAAGCTACATTTCACCAGAACAGTGTGAAATTTTAAGCGTGTAATTTCAAACGTGTAAAAGTTGCCGTAACATTTAGGGTATTGCACATACGGATTGGCAATAATGAAATGCAACTTCTTCAGTCAACAATAACAACGTACTTTTTCCTCTTCAGAATTTGGTTCAGTTTTATTTTGAGATTTCTTTTTGTCTTCGTCCTTTATCACCTTTACGTTTTCAGTCTTCTTCTTGACTGCTGCTGGTTGTTTGTGTTCGTGTTCGTGTTTATGTTTGTGTTCAGGTACGGGTTTTTTTTCAACGCTTTTGTGGTGATGTGCCTAAATTTGTGGCTGAATTCATAGCTTTCAATTTGAACATTAAGATGTATGCTATGTCATTAGCATTGCAGCTATCTCACACATCGATTNATCTATTGGATTGATTCAATCCTCAATGATGAAATCGTATCATCAGCAAGTGCTGCTATCTTGAATGAAAACAGTCTATATGCAGATAGATATATACAGACTACAAATTCAAGTAAAAATTAGAATCATATACCTTAGCGGATGACTGACTGGAACCACTATCTTTGATGCGTTTCTCTTTTGGACTATCTTTAGGTCGTTTTTTCTTTGATGATGGTAAGCTTTTTTTTGATTCCGTTGAACTCTTCTTGACTACTTTTCTTTTCTTTTTTGCTTTCTTCGAACAACATTCAAATGACAGAACAATATTCGTCAGCAGTGTCAAAAGTATTACTGAAAGGTTTGTTGTTGCGCAGTCATGATGATTCGATGGAAATGGGGTTGTTATCAGAATTTTGGATCATCAATTCTCTAGACATTTACAAATTAGATGCAATAATAGTGTCAGAAGAAGTGATTCAGTGAATAATCCAACGATACAACGAAACCAATTTAAAAAAAGAGTCAGCCCAAGATCTAAAGTATATTTGTTGGATATATCATATTGACCTTCAATGATTGTTCGTATTGACAACAAATTATTTAATTCATCCGTATTGTTTTTATTTGAATGATACATTCCAATCGAATCGAAGTTAATTGATTTGTTTACTAATTAAAGAAATTCCTCCGTTTCTTCTTCTTGTTTGAACCGCAACCGCCTCTCACGTATAATATTCTGCAAAGTGATAAATGATTCTCTTTCGAACGCACCACAGAAAGCTGTATTTATGAATATTATGCAAAGCAATTTGAAGATTACTCATGAAAAATTCGAGGCACTTTTGCTGTGAAGGGAACGGCTTTTGTTGAGGCTATCACTTTTCTCTCCTTCAATGAGTGTTCACCAATGACAACGAAATGAGTTTTACTGTAAAAAGGATAGCGGCGCTCTATCTTTCAATGGGCGCTATCCGTTCACAGCAAAAGTATTGTACCAGCGCAACAATCATAACTGATTATATGTACTCACACAGTTCAGCTTGCCTTCGAGCACATTTACAGNTTTCGGTTGATGAGGACAATTCAGTGCATATGATACTCATAATTTGCATGTATTCCAAATGCATTCAGTGTGTTGAATGCAAATCAAGCTTTTTTTGTATTAGTAAACTGCAAAGAATTTGTATAGCGAACATCTATAAAAGCAGATAAAAACAGCGATGCAGCATTGTTTCAGTCTTAACAAAGCCGAGTGGCGGAGTGCTTCTGAAGAGGATGACTTCAACTTACATTGGTGTGGGTGGCTCCATGAGTCCCGGTACTACTTCGGCTTATTTCGCAGCACCTGGCGCTAGACCAAGTGGAGGAGGTGGTGGTGGTGGTTTTAATCGTGGACCGACGCCTCCCGGGGTATCGGCATATTTCTCGCCAACGGTCGGTGGTGCCGGTGGTGGCACAGTGTCGGCATATTTCTCGCCTACGGCTCCTGGAGCGATGGGTGGTGGGGGTGGTTCATCGCCACGTCCTTGTTCGCCGACTCCCGCAGCTCCAGCATTCTCTGGTCTCTCAACGAAAACAGCTATCGGAGCTCCAGCTGGTGAGTGCTAAACGGTGGTTGATCGTATTTTTATGGTGCTAGAGGTTCTGACATTATGTGATGATTGCATTTCAGTAGATCCATGCAAGACGGCTATCGGTGCACCTCCGGGTATGTCCGGATTGGGAACGAAGACAGCAATTGGAACACCTATGGTGGATAATACAAAAACGGCCATTGGCGCACCAATGGGTAAGCAATGTATTTGATGCGAACTGAATCTCACATGTAAATTAGAAGCAGAACTCCAACTCAGAATCCTTACGAAACGTTTCGATAATTCCCGAGATTATTCTAATTGGGATCTGAAATCTGAACAGAGTTACATTTTAGTGGACAACACGAAGACGGCCATTGGAGCTCCGATGATGATGGATAACACCAAGACGGCTATTGGCGCACCTATGGTGGACAACACGAAGACGGCCATCGGAGCTCCGATGATGATGGACAACACGAAAACGGCTATTGGAGCCCCAATGTTGGATAACACCAAGACGGCTATCGGAGCTCCAATGATG